TCCTCTGCCTCCAAAAGTAGGTGATGACTAATGCTTCCGAGGAAGGAAGGCTAGCAGAACCTCAGACATCCACAGCTGATTTCAGTCAGGGGTTTTTTTGGTTTTTTTTGGTTTTTTTTAATATTATTCATCATTTTATCCCTTCTATTTTAAGTTGCCATTCTTGAAAAAATGTTCTTACTCTGTCATCCAATGCCATTCATTTCACAAAAGGTAGCTAAAAAATTGAAGAGAATTCAGAGTAAACATACATGAAAGAATCGAGAAGTCTGCCCTTTACAGGGAGTTTAATTGATACTTAATTTAAATGTTTTAATTTGATTTAACCAACGACCTGGCTGTGTTCTGAAAGGATCTGCATAAGTAAGAGTGGCAGGTCTGTAATGCAGATGACAGGAGCATAACAAAATGCAATGGTTGGAAGCAGAGCTAGCTAAATTTAAAGCCAGACATACAGGAGAAGTTGTAATTATGGTGCTTAATTGCTTGTCCAAACAATTTACCTAATGCTGTGTTGGATTCTCCAACACTTGCATTGTTTCAGTTGAGGCTATGTGTGCTTCATAAATATTCTTTAGCTCAACAGAAGCTTTGTGGAGCAGTGGTTGGGTACAGTTCAGTGCAGAAGGGCTGGTTGAGATGGTCAGTGAGAAAGGCTTTCAAAGCAGTGACGTAAAGATTTAGGGGATTTTTTTTCTGGAATGGGGCAGTGAATTTGGGAAGTGGGTATTGCCAGAGTGGTCAGTGAGTAAGGACTCAGAGGAAAAGCTTGTAGCAGTCAGATCAGGGGCAGAGCTGTTAGTAGTTACTGCTGACCAGGGATGGCTATGGGACAGTGGCAGGCAGAATTTCAGAAGGCTTCAGCCAAGACAGGAAGACATGGCACTGACGAGGAAGCAAAAGGTTGTTGACCCTCTGGGAGGGTTCCCAGGGACAGGGGCTCTGCTAACAAAGGCTTTTCCAACCTTGCTGTGTTAAATGTTGCATGTCTAGATTTATTCAGGTTTGCCAGGAAGGGGCTCATTGAATGCAAACCACATCTGAAGAATGATTTGATTGGAGTAGAAATGTGGGGGCAGCTGTATATTTAACCTATAGGTTAACTTTTCAGTGAAAAATAACCTTTTATGGAAGAAAATACCTCAAAAGTGAAAGGTGTGTTTGCTGGTGGGCCAGAAAAGCACTGCCATTATCTACTGGAGATTCTCGTTCAAGTGCAGGAACCACAGCGACGCAGAGACAGTGACATAAGAGTAAGTTTAGAGTAAGGGGATTAGTTATAGGCCCAGGTTTCTCTGTCCTGTTTGATTACTTGCCTACATCACAAAATGTTTTGCTGCAAAGGAGCTTCTACCTGAAAATAGGCAATATTGCAGGGAATGGAGAGGGAGCACGGATGGCTTTGTCCGAACTAGCCAGGGTTCTCCACCGTGGAGAAGTCTGCAGAGAGGTGGGAGGCTGTGCCTCTCTCCAAAACCCTGTCCCTTACATTCTTCTTTGCTTTTGGCCTTTTACCAGCTGACAAAATGGGGGTAAAATAACAGTAAACCCAGAAGTTTAACTTCAGCTGTTAAAAAGAGATTAATTCACTTTCTTTTTTTATGATCTTGCAGAGAAGTTAGGCTAAATTTAATTGAGGCTGGGGAGCTGGGGCTGGAACAGATGAGGAAAAGGGAACTTGCTGAAAACACTGTCAAGGCCCAGATAGCAAAAACAAGTAACAGTAAATGCATAACAGAAAATGAGAGGGGGAGAAAGAGGAAGAGAAAAGGCTAACGGGGAAACAATTAGAAAATACCACCACGACCAAAACAAAGGCGTTAGAGGTTAGCTGAGAGGAAGCTGCGTGCCAGCTTACAGTCAGCAGCTGAGTTACTGCAGGGTGTTCCTCACACTCCCAAACTGTCCATAGGAGCGTTCTGCTCCTTAAGCTCATTCACTGAAATTCTCATTGTCTTCAGCCGTCGTCAGTGCTGTGCAACCTGGCTGCTGAGGCAGACATTCTTGGTTTGTGCATCGTGCAACCCATCCTTGCCATCAGCCTGGCAGACCATGAAAGCTGAGTGGGACCAAGGCATGCTGCCTGGGAGGTGGTTAAGGAACGTTCCAGAACAGGAATGATGATAATCTAGTCAGTACTGGGATTTTTTTTCCCTTGTTTCCTTTGAATCAGAATGGAGATAATGTCCAGGATCTGAGGGTGCTCATGCAGCAGGATGCTCTTTCATATGAAATATCAAGCCAGAGGCTGAAAACCTGTCAGAATTAAACTCCAGGATACTTTTAGCAATGGGTAAGGTGCAGTTGTCTTCTCATGTAATAACTCTGAAGAGTGAAGACTTGTTCTGTTTTGCTCTTAGGGCTGAGTGCCCTCATTGCTTTCTGATCTTAAAACCTAGATAGTTGCTTGAATTTTATTGCTACTTTTCCAGTTTTGAAGGATGTGGGAGGAGGAAGCATCAGTGTAGGTGAATGTTACTGATGGAGTGACAGTCATTTTCAGGGTTGGTGTTGTTAATGGGAAGTACCAGGCAGAGGGACCGTGGTTCCTGTGCCCTCAGCCTCCACCTGTCATGGCTGGTTTGCTCCCCAGCCCTGTGGGGAGGATCTGCCTTTCACTTCTTGCTTTCAGAATGATGCTCTGCAGTCTTACCATAGATTTGGATGATAGGCAGACAGAGGAGGAAAGTCTCATCCTTGCAGCTCAGCCTTGGATACTTGTCCATCTCCAGGCTGCCCCTGCCATGCTCCTGTCTGCCTCATTTCTAGGCAACCTGTGTCTTTTTTTCACTGGTACTGGATTCCTAGTGCAGCTGGCTCACTTTCTAGTATTAGAAATTGTCAAACTACTGTCTGCATGTCAAACAGTCAGACTGCATGGCCAGGAAGAGACAAAACTGTTGGGACTAGTGTTTGGCACTTGCCAGTTTCTCTCTCGTGCAAGGAGTGATGGAGGTGGAAGATGACTATAAATTGTCTACTTTCTGGTGTTGGGTCAGACATTGGGACTCAAAGTAGAAATTACTCCTGAAGTGGGAAACCTGTTACCTGAAGTAAATTTATCGTGCTGGAATAAGCACTTGTGTATATCCATAAGTTTAAACAGTCATTGCTGTTAACTGGAAGTTCTGTTTCTCCACTACCATGTGGAGACCTTGATCCTTTCCTCTGACTGACTCAGCATTGCCAATAACAAATTGCTAGGACATGGTTATCCATACAGGAACCCACAGGAATACGTTCTTTAGTTTATACCCCAGAGTCTTCATTTACTGTTTTGATAAAAGGACTCAATGGAATTTGTTCCACCATGAAGCTTGTAGGATGCAGCCACGATAAGCGGGCAAAATACCTCTGCTCCTAATTCCTGAGAGCTTAGTCTTGACATTTCTAGTGATGTGTGAGCCCAAATTAGGAAATAAAAAAGGGAAACAGTGTCCTTTCTGCTTTGTTTTCTCTAGGGCAGACTTAAATATGATATCAGGTATGTCTTCTGCCTGCCTAAATGGTCTTTGTAATCCTGGGGGCTGGTTAAAGAGCTGTGTTGCTTGTTTCTTGGAGAACTATGTGTGCATGGAAGTCTTAGCTGTGAGGCACTAGGGATATGCCCAGATAGGCTGGGAGTGGTCCCTCTGAGGGGGTCTGCACCTGCCAAAAGGCCACCTTTCATCTTCCCCCTTTCTATTTCCCACCCTGCCCTCGGGTAACCGTTCACACTGGTACAGTCCTTGGTGGCATGCCCAGCAGAGCTACAACTCTCTTGCAGCTCAGCCCCAGCAGATTGCATTTACTGCTGCAGTTAGAGACCACCTCTGTGTGAATCCAGCAGCTCCTCTGCTTTGTCCTGTTGTTCCCAGGTGGAAGTGCCTTTCTGCCATGGCAGTCTGCTCATGTCTCCCATGGTTTGGTGCTATCTCTTGCACTGATCTGTTTCCATGAGCAAAACAAATCTTTCCTGTTTGGGTCACAACTGCCTGCTGGCTTTGGTGGCCTTGAGGAGTTCTGACAGCAAAGCAGTGTGTGGGCAAAAGTGACAAAGTACTCAAGAGCTCCAAAATTAGCATTAGCTTTTGTCTGTATGGGGTCTTCATTTCTCCAACACTTCTCAAATCCAGCTCCATAGGATCATCTGATGGTACTGTAGGACTGTCGTTGCTACCCAGCAAGTATGGTTTGTGTGTGGTGAAAAGCACTTGTTTATTGCAATGAACAGGATTTTTATGGGCAACATTTTCAGTAGCATCTGAGTCCAGTTCTCAAAAGTGATGTAGGCTTTTAAGAGGCCAAAGCCAAGATTTTCATAAATAAGTAATGATTTGGGCTGCCTCTGTTTTTTGTTACACAAGTCAAGATGTCTAAAAGGAGCCTGGTTGTCAGCAGTTGTGGGATTCTGGCATTTTTTCAAAATTGATATGCTTTTAAAATGTCTTAAACTGGGCATTCAGAAATGGAGGCATCAAGAATGATTAGCTGCTTTTGAAATCCTTTTTCTTAAAAGTCTGAATGAAAATCACTGGGGCATGGGGTCCTAAATGACATGTAAAAAAGTGCTAAAAGTGTATTTTGGAAGTGTCTACCTCTCTGTGACTAGACTTGTCCCCAGAGCACCTACACTGTTGTACTTTAATGTACTCACAAAAGCCTAATAGGGAAAGGCAAATACATCACTACTGTGCTGAACGGGTGGTGGGATTGATGGGCTGCTTCAGGGTATCAACCTATCTCTGCTCTGGTTTGAAGAGGAAAAAAACAATGCTTTTTGTAGGCACCAGCAATAAGCTAATCAGCAACTCTGACCTGCTGGGAAAAGAAAGACAAGTTTGTATCTAAAGTCCTATACATTAGGAGCAATATTGTCTAAAGTGAAGCATGCACCAGTTAAACATATTAAAGGGTTTTGTAGGTTTGATTTCATAAACCAGCAGAATAGTAGGAATCCAACTGTTGTTTCCCCAACCTAAATTCCTAATGCCCATGTGACTTTTTGCCTCTCCTCTCAGATCTGAACCATGTCCCACCCGTCCTGGCTGCCACCCAAGAGTACCAATGAGCCTGTTGGTCATGTTACTGCAAGGATGGAGACCACGCACACCTTTGGGACTCCCAGCATCTCAGTGTCCACCCAGCAGACTCCAAAGAAATTTGCACCTGTTGTTGCCCCCAAACCAAAGTACAACCCATACAAGCAACCGGGAGGTGATGGTGAGTATTTATTTTTTTAGGAAGGAACCACAACTAATTCAGATAAACTGGCTGCTAACACAGGCTGTTCCTGACTTGGTCTTTGTTGGTGAGTTTGTGGGAGCCTCCCTGTTTCAGATCATTCATATCAAGAAGAATGTGAAGGTATCTCCTACCCTTGCTCTGGCTGCCTACCCTTCTGAGAGGTGTAGGGCTGGGGGAGGACATGGGGACAGGTGTTTCTTGGTTTTAATTGGAAGCAGATCTCCCATGTCCAAGGCTGATACTTTTGAAAGGAAGCTTGTTAGTCTCTGCTGGCATGTGATGATTCAAGGAGCTTGGGCTCGAACAACCCTTTTCAGTATTGATCTATGGGAATATGGGTATAATTGGGGATTGTAGGGCCTAAGTTTGGCAGAATGAATTTGAAAGTGCTTCCTCTTCTGGCTGGATTGTTTTATTCTTTTCCCTCTACTATGGAACACTCTTGAATATGAAATAATTCAAAGGATATTAGCCTCTGAAACTGTTATGTTTGCAAAGCAAATGCCTGCCAGTCACTGTGTGTTGGCCTTCTTCTACCTTCTGCTGTAAAAGTCCTCCTTTCTTCATGTGATTGAGCAGCAAGCGTGGGATTTGGGTTCCTGGCTTGTGGACACCTGGGGGGAGGGAGTTCCCAGCATCAGGAGTGCATGGTTGGAAGTGCCTCTGGGGTTTTCAACTGGAAACCTGCCAGTTGGAGCACCCTGGATGCCCCTGGCTGACACTGGAAAGTGTGTGATGGAACCTTACTGCAGCAGAAACAAGGAGAAAGCCAAGGATTTTAGGAAAGAGTGGTAGCTGTCTTGGCAAGGCATGACTTTTCTGTTTGTGGTGATTTACTATGGTTAGAAATGGGTGGAACACTCTTCCCCTCCTCCTCTGCAACCCTCCCTCAAAAGAAAAGCTCAGTTGTATTAAAGAAAATTGCCCAAACAGCTTTTTTATATGGTTTTGGATGCTCTGCTTTGTTCCATTGTCACGTTTTCCTCTTTTGTATTGAGTACAATAAGTTAAATATCATCTGTATATTTTTTCCTCTTACTGCTCTATCTTTTGTAAGTTGTATGCATTTTCAGGAAGACTACAGAAGAATGGGAAGGAGAAATAAAAACAAAGGAGCACATTAAGTCTTGCACTTGAGTGATTTTGTGAAGTGAAGGATAGCTTGTAGGAAAGTTGGAAAAGTCTGAGTGTTTTGGTTTTTTTCCTCTGCCACTCTAATTTCAGAGAATTCAGAACAAAAAAAGAAAATGTGTTGGAGGGGGAAAAGCGAAGTCTTATGCACCTGTTCTGCTGCCTTCAGTAACAAAACTTAGCGAGAAATAGGAAGAGAAAGACATTTGGAATTTTAAAAGTAAAAAATAATCCACTTCTGAAATGCAGTGAAAATGTCACCTTCAAGTCAAGTGGAAATTCTTATTTTTCTGACTCTCTTGAAATTAAAAATAATAATGGAAAATAACTCTCTTTTTTCCTAGGAAAACTGTTCTCGATCAATCACTTATTTTTGGGTGAAAAAAGTCAGTATGTCTTGTCAGTGCTTTAGTGATTGTGGGTCTGATTATATGTGACTCAGGAACATTATCACCCTCTAAAAATTCTGTGTTTCTTGGCATTTGGGGAAGGAGGCTTTCCCAAAGAGCACAGCAGGCACTGTAGGCTGAGAAGGGGAGACAAGACACACAAACATTTCTGATGCAACCCTGAGTGTCTGGTCCCACAAACAGTCAGGCATCACCGGGTCTGTTGGAAGCTGAGAGACAATCAGGAACTCATAGGGGGACTTCATCAGTGCCAGTCCCTTGCCTTGTCTGATGCTGGGCATTTGGGGATCCTGTCATTATCTGACAGGCCTGGAAGAGCTAAGGGTTGGCCAGGACCTGGTCAGAGACAGGCTTAGTGATGTGACAGCGTGCCTGCAGCTTAAGCTAATCCACTTTCAAAAGGTGACATGCTGCTGGTCGCTGTCAGCAGCCCGTGCAAAGCCATTACCCAGCCATATATAACCCTGAGAACATGAGGCTTCTGGGATCTGGCAGGCGAGAGCAGAGCAGTGAGAAATATTTAGCCCAATGTACTTCATTCACTTTCTATGGCTCCCTTCTCCAGGCTTCCTAATTGTTTTTTCAATGACCTCCCTGCTTTTGCAGCAATAATTCATCCTGGGAGACAGCTCCGTGCCCCGTTGGTTCCCTGCGTACAGGGGCACTGTGAGTCATTTTGCCTAAATTTGTTCTCTGTTGGTCACGGGTCTTTCCCATCTGGTTGACTGTGAGTCTGTAGGTGGGAGAGCTCCAGGATTCCCTCACACCCTGGTGTGTTTTCATCCCTCCTACCCTGCCAGAGCTGCTTTGCTGGAGGAACATGGGGTTTACCTGCTTCCTTCTGCCGGAGATGAGTGGGAGCAGCGGCGCCGCTCAGGGGAAGGGCTGTGATGGGGCAGAGGGTCACTGTGCACGTCACAGCATTGCCTGCCCCAGCAGTGTTGCTGGAATTGGTTCCCTGCAGCCTTTGGCAGCTGGAATAGTATCTGGAATCTCTCTGGGAGGCTGGTGAATTTTGTTCCTGGTAATTTCTTCAGCCTGTTGCTTTTAACATTCAAGATTATGCATCCTCTGGCCTTGTGTTTCTTTATTATTATTTTGTAGGTGTGTTGCTTGCATATGGAGGGTCTGTCTGGCTGATCACATTTGTGATTTTATTTCTTGATCATATTGAAAGCACAGGGAAAAGACACTGGAGTGACAATGGAGCAGGTACTGTGTGCACATGTAGGGGGAGTGACCGTACCCCCCTCTCCCTCCCACCAAAGCATTTCCTTGATCTCACCTTGACTTTGATTTTATTTTTCTTTTCCTGACACCTGCACAAAAATCAACCAGAAGGTGCTGATTAAAAGCTACTTAATGGAACTTTAAAGGAAGTTAGAAATGGTTACATGACTGAAAAAAGTGAAATCACAACAGCCAACAGTTTATAAACCAGCAGCGTTTTAATGTAATTTGAAGCACTCAATGTGTGTGTGGTTTAGACCAGTGAAGTGAGCAATTTTGCTGGTGCTGCCAGCCCCCTCCTTGCTGTTTGCCGTGCTGAGTTGCTGCAACTTGTTTCAGACTATATTTATCCACTCATCAAAGCAGAGACCATTTCTTTCTATTGCAGAGATCTGTTTTGGGGGCCCCTGGGTATGACTGCAGTAGTGGTAGAAATAATAATGATAATCATCATTATCATCATCATCAGTAAGACCAGCTCTGCCTAACATTCTGCACAGGTCTCTGCCATGCAGAGAGCTGAAAAGGCGGGCACAGCTGTGTTTTTATAGGTCCTACAAACACCAGACCAGACTTCATGTGCTGTGGTCTGGGCTGGGTTTCTGGAGGATTTAATGCTTCCATTCCCCACTGTGATGGTTTGCAGGGGATTAACCTTGCCTGATCCTGGGAGGCGTGAGCACCAAAGCTTCTGGGAAGTGCAGGTGCTCGTCATCTTACACAATTCTGTATTTACCCCACAGAGAGAGGAGAGCTGTTTGAGCTTGGGGAAGATGTTTATCTACAAGATGAACATTGGGAGGAAGTGTAGCTGCTGATGAGTTAGGCTGGAAATCAAAATTAGATGTCCAGACATTGAAGCAGGAGCTCTAAAAGAGTTTAACCAGGGTCAAGGTGGTCCTTGGGTGGAGCTAGATGTAGTTTGAAGATTGAGAGCATCTTCTCTTTGTGCTTGGAGAAGATGAGTCCTGAGATGGATGAGGCAGCATCAAGCTATGGGTCCTGACAGTCCACTTCTTATATATTTGGCTTCTTTTTCCATGCTCATGTGTTTGGTGTTTTATGTCTCCTCCCTCTGCTCCTCAGCAGACCCTGTCCAGCTCTGTGCGTAGCAGGGTTTGTCCTCTGTACTCACAGACCAAAAAATCTCTTAAGCAAAGTAATGCCTTTTTCCAAGGAGTTCATATTTATTTTGTTTCCTTTAAAAGCATTGGATGCCCCATCATTGAAAGTCCTCAAGGTCAGGTTGGAAGGACTTTGAACAACCTGATTTAGTGAAAGATATCTCAGCTGATGGCAGGGAAGTTGAATTGGATAATCTTTCAAGGTCCTTTCCAACCCAGACCTTTCTGTGATTCTGTGGTTGCCCTTCCTCCTTTCCCTGCCACTTACTTCTCTCCTGCTCTCCAGCTTTTAGACTTAAATTTCAGCATCTTCAACAGAGCTGGAGCCTTACAGAAGCGCTGCCACACAGCTGTTCCTATCTATACTGGGCTCAGGAAGATGGAAAGGATTTATAGCTTGCAGATGAAGCAAATTCCCTTTTCTCCTCTTTTTCCTAGTTCCAGAAAATGGGGCCTCACCCTCAGGGCAGACTAAGGAGGCATCTGGTGTGGAGTGAGGTTGGCGATGGCTGATCCGCTGGCTCTGTGCCCACTGCCATGGGGCGGGTGGTGCTGGTGTGGGATTGTGCACTCCATGGCATGGGGAGGAGAGCTGGCAGCTGCTCCCAAACAAGTGCTGCTGAGGCAGGGCAGTTGGGATGTGCTGGGACGGTGCCAGGGGTTATGAGGCCAGAAGCAGGGGCTTCAAAAATGTGTAAAAATCTGCTGTCAGTCTTGAGGTCCTCAGAAAAACCAGTCATGGCCACTGGATGGCTTGAGCGCAGTGAGTGGCAAGCTTTGCGGTGTGATATGCCTTTTGGTTGGATCCTTCTGGCTTGAGCTTGTTTTGGTAACCATAAAAGCTGTTTTCCTCTTGCCTTTCCCCCTCCCCTCCTAATAAAGCTCTGCAAGTCCCAGAAAAATGACACTATGCTGATGCAGGTGGAGCACAGTGGTGAGCTGGGGAATCTCAACTGGATTGCAGGGTTGGGCTTCCCAGTCCAATATTTCTGAGCACTAGCACACCTCCCTGTGGGTTGAATGCACTCTTCTGCCACTGTGTGCAGTCACTTGAAAGATGATTTCATGGTGATAGGGAAGG